TCCTTCCCCCAGGTCTCCCTGTGGGTGGCATGGGACTTGACTCCCATCCATGTGTGGTCCCCCTCCCTGCTGCCTCCCTCCCTGACGAGGGGCCCCCTCTGCGAACAAGACTCCCACTCATCATTATAATAATTAATGTATTCTTCATATATTGTGGTGTCCTCCTGGGTTTCCTTTCATAACCCATGCCCTGCCTGTGCCAGGCGCTGTACAAACACATGGCCTCAAACCCCCACCAAGGAGGAGGTTTAAAATAATTGCAGGATGCGGCCCTAACAGTTGCTTCTTTCTGTCTGCAGACCACAGACAGAAACCCCAGCACCACAGCTCACGCTCCTATCCCTCCACCCTGCCGTCCTGCCCCTCAACTCCCCGCAGAGCCATGGGAACAGCCAGGTGCCTTCTGTGTTGTGACAGTTGCATATATCAGACTGATCACCATCATCTTGCACTCCCCGTCCCAGCCCCGCAGACTGGCTGTTGCATCGTAGACTTGGATTGTGAGCTCTTTGGGGCAGGGGCCGTTTTTCCATCATGTGTTTGTGCAACTTGGCCTGATGGGGTAACACCACAATACAATTAATAAACAATAATAACACTGGAGTTGGCGCGCGCACACACACACACACACACACACACACACACGGTCTCGGGCCCTCCAGCATGGAGCATCAGGGACACACACACACACCACATGACATGTGTGACAAAGTGGGGGATTTTCTTAAGAGTTTTGCATGAATACTGTGTGGGTCTCAGTTTCCCTGTGTGCTGTGTGTGTAACGAGGTGGCAGGAGAGGGAGTTTGTTGTTACAGAGGATCAGCTGTGACCTCGCCTAGCAGTCGAGACCCTGGACAACTGCCTGGAGATGGGAGACCCTAGCAACTGGTGACCAGGAGGCCCACCCCAGCTTGGCAGTCAGCCATTTTTGGCCAGTGGGAGGACAAAGGGCTGAGGAGAGAGGACCCCGGTGCTTGACCCACCGCTTCCAGCCAGTGGGGAACAAATGATGAAAGAGAGGAGTCCCAGGTGAGCTGGTTATCTGGGACCAAAGACAAAGGACAGGGGAGGAGCTGTTGGGGGAGATGATATAGGACGATGGGCTGAAACGAGGAGGCTTCTGGGCTGTGGAGAGAGCAGGCAGAGCCCACCTGGATGCAGGAGAGACCTAGATGTACTGTGCTGAGGGAGGTTAGGCCTGAGGCTCTGAGAGTTTTCTATGCTGTGTTCAGGCGCTCAATAAACCCTCCTGTTCTATGCTGGCTGAGAATCACGGCAGGCTAGATATCGGGGTTGCCTTATTCCTTCTGGGTGTGGAGGCCCCAGGGGTCCAGAGCAAGTGGACTCCCTGAGAGGGCGCACGGCAAGAGACAGGCGTGCTGAAGGCTCAGAGAGACGCGGTTCCAGGAGGCGGAGGGGCTTACGGCTTAACGCCCAAGAGAGAGTGGACTCCCAAGAAGGACTGTCACACTGTAGGGGCTTCCTCCCAGGGACCGTACGCAGCCGAGAAAGAGCACGAGTCCTGTGAATCCGTGACAACTTGTTTGTTTTTTTAAAAGAGCTGATTTCTGACATGAAATTCTTTTTTTAATGGCACGCTTGCCCGTAAATCATGGCTTCATCCGATAATACAGATATCTATTCAAATACCAAATACCTGAACATGACCAAAATAGTTAGCGAAAAACCTAAAAAATGCACAAAATCCCAGGCCTCTAAAAAAGTGCTCCTTGGCACTGAACGCCACCCGACCCCCGTGCTGAAGAAATCCATCGATACCATCTTCTAACTCAAATCATGTGTCAAGTGCCTGTTCAAAGCCACTCTTGAAGACTCTGCCAGGATTTTTGCCAGATCCCATTCTCAGGATCCTGCCGTAATTGCTTTAAGCAAACCGTTATGATGCTGCAAGCAAGTGAGCACATGCTTAATGAAGTCAATGGGTGCTTGTGCTTAAGGTTAATAACAAGATCTCGCTCTCTTCATGGGGGAGTTGCAGATCCATCTGTTCGCTGGTTTGTTTATTTCATTCTCTTTAAAAGGCCCAACACCCTGCCGCTCTTAAAACCATCATACAAGTGCAGAGGCCAGAACCGGCAGGATGGGAAATTGTAAAACCCCCCGTAGCACCAAATAACTGGGATATGCAAACAATCGATTGGGGCTTGGCCTTTTCCATACTGGGATCCCACTCCTCTCTGCCTGGACTCCCCAGCACCATGGAAAGGGGCAGTGGCTCCCTGCTATCTGGTATGGGTCACAGCCCCGATCTTGAGTACCTTCCATTGACCCCACCCACTTGCATCTCTGGCTCCACCCCTCTCCATTGATGTTAACTCTAACGCCCCAGCAAGGAGCAGCCAGGGAGTGGGGGCCTGGGAGGCGGGGCATTGAGAGGCTTAGAGAGAGAGATGGAGAAAGAGATGACTGATGGTGTCTAGATGAGGGATGAAAGACAGAGAGCAGGGAGGCAGGGGGATCTCCTCCCCACAGATGTCCCACCCCCATAGGAATGTATCTAGGGTAGGGCAGTTGGGTGCTCTGCTATGACCCATGGCAGCATTTGACCCAGAACTAGTTAGGAAAATGGAGGGGGTGGGGGAGAGGGGCAGGTCCCCGTGAAAACATTCAATCTTTCAGCAAAAATTCAAATAGGAAACATTTAGTCTGAAAAGTGAAATATTTCGATTTAAACAAGCTGTTACAGTGCCTCATGGGAGTTGTAGTTCGGGTGTCTTCAGTCCAGGCTCCCAGGTTGGACTACATCTCCCATGATACACCAGTCTCTCAGGGAAGAGAGGCAGATGCATCATGGGAGTTGCAGTTCAGAAGGGTTATTCTGCTGTAGGCTGGGCCTCCACTGTAGATCTATCCGATGATGTGCCATGAGTAAGGCTATGTTTTGGTCATGGGTATTTTTAGTAGAAGTCATGGACAGGTCACGGGTAGTAAACAAAAATACACAGCCCGTGGCCTGTCCATGACTTGTACTATATGCCCCTAACTAAAACTTGGGCCAGGGTGCCACGGGTGCTCCGGGGGCCAGGGCGGCCGGAGGTGCTGGAGGAATGGTCTGGGACCCCCACGGGTGCTGGGGCTGGTGGGTGGCAGTGCACGGCCTGGGACCCCCGCTGGTGCTGGGTGGGGTTGGAGGGACTGGCAGCCTCCCTACCCAGCTCCGCGCAGCTCCCCGGAAGCAGCCGGCATGTCCTGCATCTCCTAGAGGGAGGGAAGGCTAGGTGAGCTCTGTGCACTGCCCCTGCCACGAGATCTGGCTCTGCAGCTCCCATTGGCCGGGAACCGCAGCCAGTGGGAGCTGCGGAGGTGGTGCCTGCAAGCAGGGGCAGCGCACAGAGCCCCCTGGCCCCTCCACCTAGGAGCCACAGGGACATGAGACCCCCTCCCACACCCAAAATGTTCGGGCAGCCCCTGAGTCAGTTGCACCAGCCGCTGCAAAAGTAATGGAATCTGTAACCTCCGTGACTGTGACAGACATGCAGCCTTAACTGTGAGCTCTTCGAGAGGGGAGGCGGTTGCATCATGGGAGCCCCTGGTCATGCTGCATAATGGGAATCGTAGTTCAGGTGTCTCATGCCCCCAAATTCTTCCCTAAGCTGGGCTTCCTAGAGGGGCTACATCTCCCATGATTCACCACAGTCTCTTGGTGAGGAGAGGCAGATGCATCATGGGAGACATAGTCCAGCCAGGGAGCCTGGCCCATAGTCGACCATGGGGACAGGAGTAAACTGAACTACAACTCCCATAAGGCTCTGTGGCGGCCTTGCAGAATTGAAATATTTTCGTTTTTTTGAGGTGTGGGGGAGGGAATGGAAATTCCCCACAAGGAGCAGTTGCTTTTCACGGAACAATTCCATCTCATCGAAAACCCAATTTCCCATCCAAACACGGGTTTAGAGAGAACGTATCCCACTGCCCAGCTCCCTGATGTCTCCAGCTCTGTGCCCTCTGCGCAGTGACCCCTCCCTGGCTCCTCTCTCCCTGCCAACTACCCCCAGTGCTAACGAGAGTGAAAACACCGCGGGGGGGGAGGGGGAGGCGCGGGGGAGGACACTGGTGCCCGGTCTTGGGGCCTCCTTTTCTCTCCCCAAAACCTCATGTGACAGCCCCTCCCAAACTTTCCAGACCAAAGCCACCAGGGGCTGGGATGGACCAGGTGGAATTTCAGGGGAATCCTTCCAGCCAGTAGACAATCAAGCTTATACTGGGATACCAAGCGACATGGGCCCATTGGTCCTGGCAGGGAGAAGGCAGGATACCAGGCTAGATGGGCTCATTGGTCTGTCTGGTGCAATAGAGAGGAGCCAGGATACCGACTAGATGGGCCTGTTGGCCTGGGTCTCTGCTGGCTTAGTGCTAGCTGCCCCCCTGCTCACCAGGGCCTGGTGTTGCGATATTCCTGCTTGTAGCGGATCCATTGGGCGTCCCGTGACACTCCCGCTACTGTCCAAGATAGCTGCTTCCCCCATGGCACTCTGGCTCGGTCGTACCACCTGCTGTCGAGCCGTGGAGGGAGGCAGTCCACAGGATCTCCTCGGCCTGAGGGCTTTGACTCCGAGGCCTTCCGGATGCCTGGGTCTTTAGTCCTGTCCGTCAGGGCCGGCTCGGTGGGAGGGGAGGTGCCCTCAGAGTGACGGACCATCCCACCTGGCTGGGGTAGGAGGGCTGGATGTGATGGGTCCTGGCTGGTGATTATTGTGCTGTCCAACCTGACAGAGACGGAGGTACCAGTCAGTGTCCCCTCGAGTACTGCTAGAGTGTGTGTGTGTGTCGGGGGGGGGTGACGTGGGAAGCACAGTGCAAGGGCGGTGGATCAGGGGGTGGGGAGGACTCCCAGCAACGAGGGAGGCGGGCCGTGTAAGAAACAAAAGCCAGAGGAGGAGGGATCACGGAGGAGTCCCAGAAGTTGGGGATGCTGGTGGCATGGGGAGCACAGGGAGGGATCCTAGCAGAAGGGAGGCAGGCTGTGTGGGGAACGCAGGTTGGAGGCAGGTCATGGAGGGGTCCCAAAAGCGGGGGGATAGCATGGGGAGAGCAGGTTGTGGAGTTGGGGGTGTCCTGGAGGGGTCCCAGAGGCGGGCAGCGGAAGCAGGAATCTTACCGGCCTTCTGAGTCCTGGAGTCTCCTTAGTGGCTCTCGGCTGCTCTCTGGGTCAACGAGGAAAATGGGGAGTGAGCAGCAATTCTTGTAACTTCCCTGATAGTGGCTCCCAATCCCCCCACCTCCTACCCTAGCCGCCTCGGGACTGCAGGGAGTGGGGTCAGTAGCTCTGCTGGCCCCAATGTCCCAGTATGCCCCTAGGGGGCGCTGTGCTGCAGGGAGCAGGGAGGACGTGGGGGTCTCAGTACACCTGGCAGTCAGTGCTGACCCCAATGCCGAGTGTAGCAGGGTGTGGGGTGGCGGTAAGAGACCAGTGAAGATTTGGCAGCACTCCGGCAGGCTCCAAGGGGCTGGGACAGGACCCCCTGAACTACCAGGCTCTAGGGGCAGCTGCAGCCTGTGTGCTGGGCTTCGAGGTGGGTGGCTCAGAGCAGCGAGATGCCCACCTGCCAGGATGCCAAGGGCCGATCCCAGTCCGGACACACACACCCCCGCCCACAGTAAGAGTTGTAAACCCCGTCCCGGTTCAGTGTGGCATCCTGCACCTGCCCCACTCACCCGCTCTCCTCTCAGCGCCACCGGCCACCCCCTCAGGCAACGGGGCAGGGTTCCTGTAGCGGCTGTAGGAACTCCGCTGAGCCACCAGGCCGTCCTGCCCCACAGCGCTCCCCCTGGAGGAGAGAGGGGAGGAGACGGCGAGGGTGAGGAGGATGAGGTGGAAGGTGAGGGACGGGGGGATGCCAGGCTGGGAGGGGGGGAGGACAGACATGGCATGGAGTCTCATGGGATGGGAGCACAGACAATGTGATGGAATGGAATTAAGGTGGGGGGCTCAGCAGGGGGCGCTCTCCCCTCCCAGGCGGTACTGACCCCATGGCCCACACCGTGCTGAAGGGAACGGGGTGGCAGCTCAGCCTGGGGCACACCTCCTTGGCACTCAGCGCTGATGCCCTTGTTCCTGACAACCCTCGTGATCTTGAAAGACCTCCTTTGCACAGGGCCCTGTCCGAATCCCAACTCCGACACCTGCATTTCACCTCCCTGCTTTTCCCCCTACAAGATCCACTGACCCACTTCACTTCCTGTCCTAAGTGGCTGCACAGAGTCCCTGTGCAGCTGTTTCCCAGCTGCCCCATCCCAGAGGTGGCTGCATTTCAGCGCTGGGTGAGTGACACCCGTGCAGCATTGCTGTGGGGCTGTTCCCTAGCTGCCCCACCCCAGAGGTGGCTGCATTTCAGCAAAGGTGGAAATCACTCTGGGATCCTTGGAGGTGGAAGATGGTAGCCATGTTAGGGATCAGTCTACTGGCCTGAGAGGATCCCAGCTGACACAAAGCAGCGAAGGCAGCGCCTGGCAAAGCCATCCTGGATTATACTCCAGACCTGGGCAGCACCAAGGGGTCCTGTGCAGTCCTCCAGGTGGGGTTCAATCAAACTGCTGCACTTAGCTTATTATTCAGGGCACCCAGCAGCTGGTGAACGGGGCTGGCTAGGCAACCACTAGTGGTTCTGTACCCCCAGAGAGACCCGCCCCGACCCCTAGCAATGTGCTGCATATCTGCAGGGATCGACGAGAGTCAATCCACTGGTCCCACTCCCCTCCCAGAGCCAGGGATAGAACCCAGGAGTCTCGGCTCTCAGCTCCCCTGCTCTAACCACTAGACCCCACTCCCCTCCCAGAGTGGGCGGCTAGAACCCAGGAGTCCTGACTCCAAGCCCCCTTGCTCTAACCCATTAGACCTCACTTCCCTCCCAGAGCCAGGGATAGAACCCAGGAGTCTTGGCTCCCAGCCCACCCCCCCCACACACACACTCTAACCACTAGACCCCACTCCCCTCCTGACAGCACAGCCCCAGAAGATGGTTCCAGAGCCGAGACGGGCAGAGCACTGCAGCTGCCCTCAGCCTCTGTGGTGCAACAATAAACGACAAAGGCGTCCGTGGAAGGTTTTGAATAATAATTAAAAAAATCTCCAAACTTTATTGAAATGTAAACAAAAGCTCATGTTCCCGCGTTGAACGTTAACGACCGAAGGCAGCTCAGAGCCCTGGGTGGCTGGGAGGGGACAAACGGGGCCAGAGATCAGAGAGACACTGTCAACCCAGTGAGCTAGCGATGCGCTGGAAGGCTGGTGGACAAGGCCCTGGGCTGGGAGCCAGGAGCTCTGGTCTCAGTTCCTAGCTCTGCCAATGTGCGGGTGTGACCTTTGGCAAGTCCTGGAGGTGCAGATCCTCCCAGGCATCTAGGTAGGTAACAGCTAGTGAGTTCAATGGGCATTGTGAAGGAGTGGGGACTTTCAATAGTATTTGTATGGAGGCCTGTGTGTGCCTCAGTTTCCCCTGCATGTGGCACTGGTACCCAGTGGAGGAACAGATTTAAGTTTGCTCTCAGAGTAGGCTAAGAGACATAGGTGGGGGTCCCCTCCTTGCCTGGGTGGAACCAAGAGCCCTTAAGGAACTGGTGGAAACTGACCCAGACTAACATGATATTGACGGGGAGCACTGAGTACGGGGAAACTGAGGCATGTATATGTCTCATATAACTACTATAGAACATTCCCACTTCATCACAGGTATCTACATACCGTTGAGGATCTAGGCATGAATTTCTCTGGCCTCAGTTTCCCCATCTGTAAAATGGGGAGAACAATCCTTCCCTTATCTGCCTGGTCTGATTGTCAGTTCTTTGAGGCAGGGCACAACGGGGCCCTGATCTCAGCTGGTGCAGGGACTGTCTCTCGCTGTGTGCCTGTGCAGTGCTTGGCACAATGGGGCCCTGATCTCAGCTGGGGCAGGGACTGTCTCTCGCTGTGTGTCCGTGCAGCGCCCGGCACAATGGGGCCCTGATCTCAGCTGCGGCAGGGACTGTCTCTCCCTGTATGTCTGTGCAGCGCCTGGCACAAAGGGGCCCTGATCTCAGCTGGGCCTCCAGGCTCTAATAAAATTTAAAAATAAGTGCACCAGATTGGGGTCAGGGAGGATTTAGAACCAAAGTTTTCCAGTGTTAATAATTATTAACTAATTAACACTTTCATTAAGCCTCATGACGTACCTGGGAGATGGGGCCCTAATTTTATCCTCATTTACAGATGGGGAAACTGAGGCACAGAGCGGGGAAAGGACTTGCCCAGTTTCACATTGTGAGTCTGTGAAGAAACTCAGGGATCTCTACTCCCAGCCTTCCTGCTTTAACGCACTAGGCCCCTCCGCTCCCTAGAACCAAGGAGTCCTGGCTCTCAAACCCCCCTACTCTAATCCACTGGACTCTTCTGCCTACGAACAGCTGTGATGCCTTCAGGGGAACTGGGGCAAAAGCAACTGAGAAGTCATTAACAGTGGTTCCTTTGGGGGCATCCTCCATAGCTCCCTACCATGGATCTGTCAGCTGAAGGGACCCCTCGGAGGGATCTGGCAGTAGACAGTGGATCCCTCTTGAGGTTCTAGCCATTGGCAATTTGTAGACAACTTTTTTAGGAGGCATTTGTAATGGAGCCATATGGCAGCCCAGCCAACCAGGAAGCTGGGGGCGGGCTCTATTTGTTGGATTTAGCAATTGGCAACATGTAGCGGATCGCCTTTGGAGGACGCAGGAGCCTGTCGGTCTTGGGTGTTGCTAAAGTGGACCCCTTTTCAGATCCACCAATCAAAGAATCTGAGTTTGGTTTCAGTAGTTGGCAGCATGAAGCACATCCCTTTCTAACCCACTCAAGAGAATACAGAAGCAGATCTTATTCTGGAGACAGCTACTGGTGATCTGCACTGGATCTCTTTTAGATCCAGCCACTGGGAAACAAGGAAGGAGTCATATTTTGAAGCCAGCAACTGGTAATCAGCAGCAGATCCCTTTTAGATCCAGCAACACCACAAGACAAAGGGACTTTATTTCAGAGTCTTCTGTTGGTGGGCAAGAGTGGATCTTTTTAAATCTACCGACTGCAAATCACATGGGATCTCATTTTAAAACCAGGAATTGGTGACCTGCAGCAGATCCCTTTTAGATCCACCAATTAAGAAACATAACCAGTAATTCAGAGTAGCAGCCGTGTTAGTCTGTATCCGCAAAAAGAAGAACAGGAGTACTTGTGGCACCTTAGAGACTAACAAATTTATTAGAGCATAAGCTTTCGTGGACTACAGCCCACCTTATGCATCCGAAGAAGTGGGCTGTAGTCCACCAAAGCTTATGCTCTAATAAATTTGCTAGTCTCTAAGGTGCCACAAGTACTCCTGTTCTTCTTTTATAACCAGTAATTGGTGATCAGCAGTAATCATTTAAATCCAGCAAGCATGAACCACAAGGGGCACCTTGCTCTAGACTCCACCCACATTGGATCCCACTTAGATCCACCGAAAAACATAAGGGGAGCCTATTTCTGATTATGAGGTTAGCATTTGGTGATCCCTTTTAGATTCAGCCACTCAGAAAAATAAAGGGACCCCTTTCTCAAGTCAGCAAATTAGTGGATCGCTTTTAGATCCACCCACTAAGGAACACACATGGATTCTATCCTTAAGTAAGCCATTGGTGATCTGCAAGGGGACCTGGTTCTAGAGTGGATTGAGGAGACCTAGTTTGAGTCCCCTGGCAAGCTAGAGTGGATCCCACTTAGAACCCAAGACAAACAAGGGGGTCCTATTTCTGAGTCTGCAGTTGCCAATTTTCAGTGGATCCTTCGCTTTAAATCCACCTACAGAGAAACACAAGGGGGAGGATCTGATCAGGCACCAAGCAGCGGATCCCATTTTGAGATCCGGCACGGGAGGAACTATCAGAACCCGATTTCCCACTGTAAACCTCTGAGAGTTTTGGATCCAAAGTACAACATACGCATATTTAAAAAAAAGGGGGTGGGGGAGAGCTACCTTGCTAACGGGACCGGATCCCTCTTCGGAGGGTGTTTTAGGATCATTCCATAGAAAAACAAGCAGCCCAGGAAAAACACCCACTGAGCCCCGGAAATAACCCGGCGTCTGCGCCAGCCCCCCCAAGCGTATAAAAAAGGGCCGGGGAGGCGCGATGGGGCTGAACCCCCGCCCCTTGCCGAGATCTCAAGACACAAATGGACGACCAAGCCGGGACGGGGGTGGGGGACACAGCGGCGACGTCAATGGCTGGTGTTTTCCGAGCGGGTGAGGGAGCTGGGATGGGGAGGATGGGGCAGAGAGAAAGACAGAGAGAAGACAGGTTAGATCCCAGGCAGGCTGGGGAAAATGTGACCTAAGGAAGATCCCTCCCCCCCCCACCCAAAAAGAGATGGCTAGTGACTTCCGGTTCTTATCCCGCTATTGTGCGGTTCTGGAGGTGCAGTGGGAATGACTAGAGGCGCCAGGCGTTGCTTCTGCTGGGCCAAATTCAACCGCGCTGGAAAAAGTGGGAATAACCCCCCAACCGGCTGGAAAGCAGGGGGCAAGCGGCAAAGCTGGGTGACTAGCCCAGAGCTGAAACTGGCTGGCAGTGATGTCAAGTGAGAGCAGCTCAGAGCACGGCTTGCGCTGATCCAGACCTGGGCATGCAACGCCCGAGTGTGCAAAAGTTAGTGTAGCTTGCATGGATCCAGCCGTGGGTGCAAACCGTGAGCGTACAAAACCAGTGGGGGTTGCACTGAGCTGGCCCCGGCCATGCAAAGGGTGAACCCGCAAAATCAGTGCAGTTCACATGGATCCAACACGCTGAGCAGGCAAAGTGTGAGTGTGCAAAAGCAGAGTAGTTCGCAGGGACCCAACACTATTATGTGCAACACAAGCATGCAAAAGCTGATGCAGATCCAACCTGGCGTGCAAAGCACAAATGTGGAAAAGCGGTGTGGCTCACACTGGTCCAACGTGCTGCTGTGCAAAGGGTGAGTGTGCAAAACTACTTGGTTTGCACAGATCCAACATCTGCGCGTGCCAAATCAATGCATCTCGCACACATCCAGCATCTGAATGTGCAACAGGTGAGCATGCAAAATCAGTGAGGTATGCAGAGATCCAACATGTGTGTGTACAAGCAGTGAGCGTGTAAAAACAATGCAGCTCCCACAAATCCAACATCTGAGCTGCAAAGGGGGAGCAAGCAAAATCAGAGCACTTGGCATGGATGCAACATGGTGGTGTGCAACACGAGTGTGCAAAATCAGCACAGCTGACACGGATCCAACCTGGCATGCAAAATCAGTGTGGCTTGCACAGATCCCACAGCACAGCGTGCAACACGAGTGCAACTTGTGCTGATGCAGCACTCGGCGTGAACATGCGAAAGAAGGTCTTCTTGCACCGATCCGGCACTCATACAAAACTAATGTGACAGAGACCCACCCAGGACTCAGTGGGAACATGCAAAACTAGTGCACCTTGCACCGATGTGGGAGTCGCCGTGAATGGGAAAGCCAGTGCAGCTGGCACCAATCTAGCACTCGATGCAGACGTACGAAAGCAGGGGAAACAGCACCAGTTCGACACCTCGCCAGTGTAAATTGAGGGCAATCTGCACTGACTTGGTATCAGAGCGAACACGCAACGCTAGTGGGTGGGGAGCCGGGCCTCAGCGGGAGCGTCTACAGCCCAGAGAAGGGGATAAATTTGACATGGGCGTGCAAACCAAGGGCTGGCAGTGTGTGCAAAATAAGGCCAACTCCCCCCAAGACAGCACTTGGGGTGGGTGTGCAAGACGTGCAGGATCAGGATAAGCGTGCAAAGCGGGTGGTCCAGCCAGGACTCGCCAAATGACGCGACTGCTGCTTCCACCTCCCTGGTGCTGAGCGACTCCCCCACATTCACAGCCCCACTGAGTCTGGCCCAGAGCAGGGAGGCCCCACATCCAGTCTGCAGCTGCCCTCTCCGGGTAACTGGGGGAGGGGACAGAGCTGAGCAGCTGTGGGTTAGCGCAGTTCAAAACACAGGGCCAGGAGAATGAGGAGGAGGGGCACTGTCCCCCTTACTGCCCCTCCCCTATGGTTCTTGGCTGAGTCAGAAGATCCCACCCTGCACCCACATCCCCCAAATTGCCAGGACAAGATGTCAACCAGCAGCCCAGATCCAAGATCTGTAGGATCAGAGTTCTAGATTCTCAAGATCTCATGGGATTGGATGCCGTCCAAAAGCCCAGCGACCCAGATCTCCGGAACCGGGCACCACCTGGCAGCTCAGATCCCAAATCCCCGGGAGCAGGCGCTGACAAGCAGCCAAGAGCCCCGCTAATGGAAGCCACCCATAATTGGATGCCGCCCCTCTCCCTGCGACCAGACGCCACCCAAATCTGAATGACCCAACACTGCCCAGCGGCCTAGATCCCTGTGACCGGGCACTGCCCAGCAGGATGTCCTCCATAAAAGGGCCCACGCTCCTAGGTACAAGGTCAGCTGGGTCCATCAGGGTTAGAGCAGCAACATCCCCCGCCCCGTACCTGGTTCTCCGCCTCTGGGCGGCCGGCTCGCCCTGCTCGCCGTTGAGCAGGTGGTGGGCGGCCGCGTGTGGGGGGCAGAGGCGCAGGTTCCGCAGCAGCTCCTGCTCGTTGAGGAAGGGCTTGAGGCAGGTGCGAACCGGCGAGTTCCCCAGGCTGCTGGAGCGGTTCAGCGAATGCGACTGGTTGAAGGGCCAGGGTGGCTCCACCTCCTCCTTCAGGACTGAAGGGAGACGCCCAGGATCAGACCCTCCGGCCCTGCTTCATACCCCCCCCACCCCTCTTCCTAACCCAGATACAGCCTGGGGGCCCTCGGGATCCTGGATTAATGAAGTGGGAGGGGGGAACCTTGCAGAGTCATAGAGTTCTGGGGCCTCCTGTTGCTAGAGAGGCCCAGGACGTGTGACATAAGGGCATGTTAAGAAAGAGGGGCCCAGGTTGTTCTCCAGCTCTCAGCCCCTCTTGTCTAGAGATGGCCCAGTGGTGAGGGTGCTTGTCTGGGCCTAGGCAGACCCAGGATCTATTCCTGTCTCTGTCCCAGGCTCCCTGAATGACCTTGGGAAAGTCACTTAGCCTCCCTGTGTGCCTCAGTTTCCCCATTTGCAGAAGGCAGATAATAGCAGGGCCCTGCTTCCCAGGGCTACTGTGAGGTGCTCAGATCCTATGGTGATGGGGGCCAGATAAGATCGATAGAACATAATACCGACAGTCCCGTCCATCTGCCCCTGCCGTGTGGTGATAACCATGGGATGAACCCCTCCAGCTAGCAGTGGGGGGGGGGTCTAGTCTGTCCTCTGTGCAAAGTGGGGGGCAGGGATCTGCCCTCCCCCATCAGGGGGGAGGTGGGCTCCCCCCCAACAGCTGTAGGAGTGGCTCCTGGAGAGGGCAGTGTGGTTGACGGCTGATTGGTGGGTGAAGTGGGATCATTGTGCATGGCAGTAAAGAACCCTCCGGGGTATGCGCTGGGTGAGGGAGGCAAAGGGGGAAGCAGAAGGGGAGCGGACAGTGCAGGAGCTGGGTTGGGGACAGAAGGGAAAGGGGAATCATTCTAGCCCCCCCCATTCCAGTCAAAGCAAACGGGGGAAGGGAGGGACATACTGAAAACCAGACGTACCAGCAGCCTCATTTCGGGGGGCCCCCTGTCACGGCCCTGCTGAGTCCAGGCGCCCCTGTGTGGTGACACTAGGCAGTGCAGGCTGGGTTAGTCAGGCTAGGGGCCCACAGGGTCCAGCAGCCTCAAACCCCCCTTTGATGTTCATTACAGCCACGTGCTGCCTCTTCTCAGCCACTAGGGGCGCCACAGCAAACCTCCTGGGATTGTTTGGGAACAGTGGGGCACATCCTAGGTGGGGATACTCCTGAGCCAGCCAGTCCCCCATCCACAAGCTGGATCACAGCCAGCGCCCCCTATCCCGTTCCCCACCCCCTGAGCCAACCAGACTGCTCTGCCCCTCCCCCCGGGGCTGGATCAGAGTGGGCACCCCCTAAGAGAGGAATGGCCCTGTATCTCATTTCCCACTCCCTTTAGCCAGCCAGTCCCCCATCCACAGGCTGGATCAGAGCCAGCGCCCCATAGAGGGGAAAGGCCCCATGTCCCATTCCCTGCCCCCCACCCTGGGCTGGCGCATCGGGTCTCTTACACTCTCGGTCTGTTAGAGAGTAGGGTTTTATCTCCTCCTCAGCACGTTTTGAAGGCAACTTCCTCACCGGAGCTGCAGGGAGAGGGTGAGAAAGGTCAGTCCAGAAAGGGGTCCCAGAACTAGAGGTTTCAAACCCATCCTGGGCTCACCAGACGGCTCAAGGGCCAGCCGAGGCCCCTGCTGGCAGCCTTGGCTTTCCCGCGGAGCACTCCAAACTAGGCCGTGATCACTCCTGGCCTAACTTCGATTGCCCGGTCTTTGGGGCAGGGCCCATTGCTTTGGTTGGGTCAGTACAGCGCCAAGCACAATGGGGTCCTGGGCTGTGCCTGGGCTAGTAAGCGCAACCACAACAAACGCACCCCGGGGTCCTGGCCAAATTCACCATGGCTGATTGCATTGTACTGCCTCTCTAAGCACCGCACCCTGTGGGTTTCCTTTCCTTTCCAAAACGTGCGCTGTTGCTGTTCGCCGTTAAATGGATGCTGCTCCCCACCCGAGGTGGCTGCATCTCAGCACTACCTGACTGATCCCTGGGCCGTGTCACTGTGCGTCTGTTCTCCAACTACCCCAGCCCAGAGGTGGCTGCATTTCACCCCTGGATGAGCGATCCTGGTGCAGCATCACTGTGCAGCTGTTCCCTCCCTGCCCCACCCCAGAGGTGGTTGCATCTCAGCATCTGACGAGCAATCCCTGTGCGGTGCTAATGTGCGGCTGTTACCCAGCTGCCCCACCATGGAAGAAAGGGGCTGCCCTACAAAGCAGCGTGTAGGGCACCCACGAACCCCTGAACGGGATGCGGCCTCAAGGGGCATGAGCATTTCTGCCAGGAGGGATCCAACTCGAGCCGAATTGGCTGAGCAGAAGGAACAGCCGTCGCTATTATATCTGCATTCCCCTAGCACTCAGTCACCGCTCAGGACCACGCTGTGCTGGGAGCCGTCCAAACCCAGAACACAGAGACGCTCCCTGTCCTCAGAGACGCTCGGGCCAACTTTTCCAAGAGCAGCCTCTGACTGTAGCCTCCCTTGCAGGTTTGGGCCCTTACCACCTAGCGTCCACTTCCTAGAGTCTAAGGGCAGAAGGGACACTTGTAATCTGAGCTCCTGGATAAGCCAGGCCACAGAACGGTTTTGGATTGATCCCTGGTTGAACCAGAGCAGATCTTTTCTTTTTTTTTTTTGGGGGGGGGGGTAGAAAAAGACCCATTCTTGATTTTAAAATCTCCAGTGATGGAGAATACAGCTGGGCCAGCAGTTAATGCCCTTCACTAGTAAAAATGTACCTGTCTCAATCTTCCAGCCATTGGATCTTGTTAGACCTCTGTCTGCTAGACCAGCGTTTCTCAAACTGGGGGTCCCAACTCAAAAGGGGGTCTCAAGGATATTGTAGGGCAGTCACGAGATCACACAAATTATAGGGTTACCATACATCTGGGTTTTCCCAGATATCACCTCCTTTTTGGTCCTCTGACCTCCGTCTGGGTGGATTTTTGAAATACGAACAAAAGTCCGTAATTTTCTCTTGCTCGTCCTTTTTCCTTGTCTTCAGAGCCGGGTGCCCAGCCAGGAGCTGTCGTTCTCCGGCCGCCCAGTTATGCAGGCAGCATTGCCATCAGCAGCAGCGCAGAAGTAAGGGTGGCATTACCATACCATGCCACCCTTACTGCTGCACTGCTACACGGTGGCAGTGCCGGCTTCAGAGCTGGGTGGCCAGAAAGTGACTGCAGCTGGTCGGGCACTCAGCTCTGAAGGCAGCGCCTCCATCATCAGCAGCGCAGAAGTAAGGGGGGCATAGTACAGTTACTTAACTCTGTAGGGATTTGCACTGATGTTGCACAAGCAATGTCTGGTACCAAGAGTGAGGGGGGTCAGCATAGCCTGAAATATTTTCAATGGGGGCCCAGCAAAAAAAGTTTGAGAACCCCTATGCTAGACTGAAGAGCCCCCCACTATCAGTTTTCTCTTCCCCCTGCAGGTACCGCTAGACAGTGATCAAATACGGTGACCAGATGTCCCAAGATTAGGGGCTTTGTCTTAAATAGGCAACTCTACCCGCCGCCCCCTGGAAAAAAAAAGTGTCCCGATTTTTTACGCTTGCCTGGTCAACCTAGGATCGTCACCCCTTCACCTTCTCTGTGCCCAGCTAAACTGAGTTGCCCGAGGATCCACACTTCCCACTGTCTACGAGTGGCATTGTGGGTGATCAGCACCTCTGAGAGCCAGGCCAGAGGTGTCTGGAGTCGGGCAGCCCCCGACCGAAGGGCTGGAAATGGTGGCCTGTGGGTGTTTCCGGTGGGAGATGGCAGTTGTCCCGAGCTCCCCGCTTGGTGCGGGTGGGAGATAAAGGACTCTCTTTGTTCCAGCGGGGTGGGGTTTTGAAAACACAAGGGAATGGAAATCGCGTGACTGGGATAAAATCGGCTAGATACAGACGCTGATTCAATCGGTCTCTGCAAGTCCCCGGCTCGGAACGTCGCAGGGCGAACTGCAGGGCTCGATCCCGCATGCTACCTTTCAATGACAGTTTTCAACCCCGGCACAGGATGGATTTGGGCGGCAGGGCGTGGTGTGGTTGAGTTGCCTCAAGGGGGCGACAGACTGCTGCTGCATTGGCCAGCCTGCTCCCGATGCTGCTATAGGTTAGGACTCAGAGCATGGTACGGGGTGAATGATGGGACAGTGGAAGTCTAGACCTCCATGCCCCCGTGTGGCACTAGGGGGCACTGTGCTGCAGGGAGCTGGGTGGGGGCTCAGTAGGGAGTGCAGTGCTGACTCCAATGCTCCAGAGCAGCAGTAGGGGGCGCTGTGCTGCAGGGAGCAGGGTGGGGGCTCAGTAGGGGGCACTCTCCCCTCAGTAAGTGCTGACCCATAGGGGGCAGTGTTCTTTCAAAGTGCTGATCACTCACATTCAAGCTGTACTCACTCTTCATTCATCTCCTCCTAGTCCCACTTCCACTAGCTTCCCTACACTTTTAGGAAAAATTCTTCTTCACTTCCTGTCCCAAACAGCTGCTAGTCACTGTATTCATCACATCTGGCCCTATGCTCTGGTAGACTATTAACAGCTGCTATGTCCCACCCTCAAGGCAGGTCAGTGGTAGGTGAGCGGTCCTTGTGTCGCTGCACGACTGTTATCCAATTGCCCCACCCCAGAGGTGGTGGCATTTCAGCCCTGGTTAAGCCATCTCTGGGTGGCACTGTTGCGTGGCTGTTAATCAGCTGCCCCACCCAAAAGTGGCTGCATTTCAGTACTAGGCTGAGGATCTCTGTGAAATCTTGCTGCCTGGTTGTTAAGGAGCTGCCGCAGCCCACCCCAGCTGTAGCTGCGTTACAGCTGTGGTTGCAATAACGCTTGCATTAGGTGACAGCCTATCATTCTGCACAGAGGTGAATGCGCTATGTAGACTGCAACGAGCTGTAATGTGCCACTTGCTCTGCACACGGAGGTGCTGAAGCGGCGGCAGGGAAGCTGGCAGGATGGGGTCAGATCAGCCAAGGTTCGGGGGGGCTTCACAGGACAGAGGAGGAGAGGGGGCGTCTGTGTGGGGCTCAGGGCTAGATGCAGGGGAGGAGACACTCAGGGGGCGGTACATGTTCCGTACTGCATTGATGCTGTTTAGAGAGAACGCCACCCCCAGGGCGACGGGAGGCCTGGCAGCATGGGGGCCAGGAACCTCAGGCAGGGAGGATCTAGGCATGCTAAGAATGCACAAGCTCTCTAGGCGAGACAGGCCCAAGCAGGGGGGGAAATAGAGCAATGTTAAGTTCCAGAGGCATTCGGTAACGCTGCCCCCCACCCCTCCACCGCAGCTCTGGGATGATCAGCAGCGGGAGGAGGAGACGAAGGCAGCACAAAGGGTTAAATCCCACTGCCTCCGGGTGATATGAATGAAGTCAGCATGAGCCTGTGGAACTCACAGACACAGGAGAGAGCGGAGGCCTGGAGTTTAACAGGATTCAAATAGGCAGGGTTGCCTAAGGGTTAGTGCAGTGGACCGGGACACAGGACACCTGGGTTCTATTCCCAGCACTGCCACCTGGCCTGCTGGGTGAGTCACTTCACTGCTCTGTGCCTCAGTTTCCCATTCTGCCCTTTGTCCGGGTGAGAAGCAGGATACAGCCGAGGTCTTGTTCCTTCCCACCAAGCCTAGCCCTAGCTCCCTTGGGGGGGGACGATAACTCCCAGAATGCACCTGGCCTTAAAGGGGCCACACCGCAATTTTTGTTTGCCTTTTGATTGTCACCCAAGGTAGCTGGCTGGGAAGGGGGTGAAGAGCACCTCCCCCATTGGCTTCAGGCCTGAAACCCCACAGGGCAGTGGAGAGACAGGACCCACCAGGCGGAAAGCAGGACTGAGTGGTGCTGTTATTGCTCCAATTGGGGGATTTGCTGCCCCCAGGGGCTGCCACTTGCCCTCCAGATTTGTGGGCTTAGCCCCTGGTCTAAACCCCAGACTTCTGGGGTAGCCCTGCCTACGCAATGGGGTAGCAGGACCAATGCTGACCCCTTGGGGACAGGCTGGGTTTTGCAGCTGCCATCAAAGCAGCCCCCAGCTGGCGCCGGTCTGTGCAGGGTACGGGCTGCATGGCGGGGAAGCGCTCCATGCTGATGGAGGAAGGCCACCCATGGCCAGGCCACTTACCATGCTGGTCGGCAAAGAAGCCCTCGAAGATCACAAAGTTGTTCACCTGGGAGAAGCGAAGGCCATGGACAGTGAGAAACTCCTGCCTCTGATGCCTCCTGCCCCCACTCCCCTGCCCGGCGCCAGCCCCCAACACCAGCCACCTTCCCCAGCCCCACCAACCCTGCCCGCTGCCAGCCCCCACCCCACTGCCAGCCCCTCCCCTAACTCCCTGCCGACCCCATTGCGCCCCAGCACCAGTCCCCGCTCCTCTCTCCTCTGCCCCCTTTGTCCCCAGTGCCAGCCTCCCCCGCCCCCATTCCCCTAGCACCTCCCCCTCGGATACCCTCATACACCTGCCCTTCGCCAGCCTCCCCCTTGCCCTGCCCAGTCATGCTCAGGCCCCTGTTGCTCCGGGAGGACAAAGGTGGCCTGAAGCCACATCCAAGCCCAGGAGCAGGGCAGGGACCTGAGAATCAGACCTGAGAATCTGGGCCTCCAATGGGGCAAGAGCCTTCTCCGCTGCAGCTCCCCGGCATGGCTGGCAGCCGAGAAAGCAGCTGCTCCTAATAAATCACTCAGTACATGCCCCCCGCCACCCCCTGGGCACAATGGGGTGTGTCCATCCCCCCCCCCCGAGGATGGTGGGAGGAGCTGGAGGGCGCGACTCACCTGGGGGATGGTCCCCTGCAGGTTGTAGTGCTTGCGGAGGAAGCAGAGGAGTTTCTCCGAGGGGCGGTCCACGGCCAGCTGGTGGGGCTGCACTCGCTCGCGCTGACAGCCGGACGGATGGAGAGGAGATGCAGCCGGGGATTAGTCAAGGCCACAGGGTCAAGATTAAACACACCCATGGTACAAGCAACATCTTCACCTAAGGGACTGGCTGGCTCAGGGGATGGGGAATGAGTAGGGCCCTACCAAATTCATGGCCATGAAAAACACGTCACGGACCGTGAAATCTGGTCTCCCCCCGTGAAATCTGTATAGTACAGGATACAAAAGGCCAGATTTCTTGGGGGAGGCCGGCGTTTCCCAAATTGCACGTCCTGGCTCTGCCTTCGGAGCTGGGCTCCCGGCCAGCAGCTGCTGCTCTCTGGCTGCCCAGCTCTGAAGGCAGTGTTGCCGCTAGCAGCAGCAGAGAAGTAAGGGTAGCAGTACTGCAACCCCCCCTACAATAACCTTGTGACCGGACCTCCCCATCCCCCAATCATTTTGGGTCAGGACCCCTACAATTACAACACCGTGAAATTGACCAAAACGGACCGTGAATTTGATAGGTCCCTAGGAATGGGACACAGGGCTTTCCCCCTCTAGGGGGCACCGGTTCCAATCTGGTCCCAGGTTGGGACACTGGCTGGGTCAGGATGGCAGGGAATGGGACACAGGGCTTTCTCCCTCTAGGGGGCACCGGTTCCAATCTGGTCCCAGGTTGGGACACTGGCTGGGTCAGGGGGGCAGGGAATGGGACACAGGGCCTTTCCCCTCTAGGAGGCACCAATTCCACTCCAACACCAGGTCAGTAGCTGCTTAAAGTTGTTCCCATCTGTTGGCCCACATGCGAAAGCAGTTGGTGAGCCCCAACCCAGTTCCCAGTCATAACCACCACCTCTAACTGGCCACTTTCCAGCAGCTTCAGGCCTGGTCACAGACTCCGGATACCAGACCGACCAGTGGTCTGGGATCCAGGCTCAGACGGAACAATGGGGTCCCCCAAAGATGCGGGAATACAGGCCCAGATGAATCAATGGGGTCACCCATTGTGAGTCAGGATCCAGACACCCCAAGGGGAGAACAGGCGGTTTGAACTCCCCAGAATAAGCGACTGAATCAATTGGCTGTGGACCATATTACTGTGTATCAATATATGTCAAGGATGGTCTTTAATGAAAGCTTGTCGTGTCCTGAACTTGGTGGCCATGAGGAGATCTATGTACAGGCTCTGGTGACGACGGTATGCACGTGTGTATGTTCAGAACATTGTAACTGTAATCAGGACGCAACTACGGCATCGCCTCCCAACAGAGGGGTGAAGCAATCAGGCAGGGAGGAGCACTGAGCATTGGCTAGCCCAGGGAAAGATCACGGGGGACCACTGAAGTTAATGGAAAGACACCGAAACTGACAAGAAAACCCCAGTCTTGGAAAACTAGGGGAGGAGGGAGTTTCCCGCACTCTGTGTAACCATGAATTCCCACAGTCAGAGAGGGGGGAAAAACCCCGCAAAGCCTGTCCAAAGGGAAGAAGGCTTGAGGAAGTGAAGGCTGTCCAGGGCTGGCATCTAAGCAGGGCACTGTCTGTGGCGCACTAGGACAGGGGGCATGCTGGGAAATTGTTCAGGTAACTGGCATTAGGAGAGGGAATTTGGCTAATAGAGAAGCATGAAGCCTGAGACGGCGTCTTTATTTTCCGCGGAGCTCGCCT